GTTTGAGTGTTAAATGTCAAAAGTGATCATAATAGCACATAATACCGATTTAAGTATTCCTAGACAGAAGAAGAAGAAGACTTGAAAATTGAAAATTGAAAATTGAAAATTGACAAACCTGCTCGACCTGTGAAGCCTTGCTGGAATCAAATACAGAATCACATCAAAGCCACAGATGTTTCTCCCTAACTTGTCCTGCCACAATGATGTGGAAGATTGTGAGATTACCTTTGGTGGTGTTAGTCAATGGTAAGGTGGTAGGGCACTAATTAATGTATTTTCGTGAAAAATGAAGTCATTAATACATTTCAAACTATGAATGAATGACGAATAAAAATTTGATTGAATTGGTATCTACTAACTTTAGTAATAAAAGGTGACACAAAGGTTTGAAATGGAGTGGCACTTACGTAAGACCTATGATCCTGACCCTTTTTCTTTTGATGCTAATACATTCTTCGGTAGCTTTAACTTTTATAAATTCAATAAGCATTGGCACCGAGCCCTTCGGGCCAAGTGACAATAGCCCCCATGGTGCATTCCCCCCTCCTCAAGGCTGGGGTTCGAACCCCGCCCTTGTAAAATCTGTTCAAAATAAATATATAAATAAATAAATAAATTCAATAAGCATTGATTGTTAAATGTCAAAAGTGATCATAATAGCACATAATACAGATTTAAGTATTCCTAGACAGAAGAAGAAAAAGACTTGAAAATTGAAAATTGACAAACCTGCTCGACTTGTGAAGCCTTGCTGGAATCAAATACAGAATCACATCAAAGCCACAGATGTTTCTCCCTAACTTATCCTGCCACAATGATGTGGAAGATTGTGAGATTTCCTTTGGTGGTGTTAGTCAATGGTAAGGTGGTAGGGCACTAATTAATGTATTTTCATGAAAAATGAAGTTATTAATACATTTCAAACTATGAATGAATGACCAATAAAAATTTGACTGAATTGGTATCTACTAACTTTAGTAGCAAAAGGTGACACAAAAGTTTGAAATGGAGTAGCACTTATGTAAGACCTATGATCCTGACCCTTTTTCTTTTAATGCTAATACATTCTTCGGTAGCTTTAACTTTTATAAATTCAATAAGCAATAT